TACAAAGGAAGCAAGAATATACAATGGGGTAAAGGCAGCCTGTTCAATAAATGGTGTTGGGAAAAATTGGACAGATACATGCAAAGAAAAGGAACTAGACCACCTCCTTACCGCTATATATAAGAATAAACTCAAAATGGATCAAAGGCTTAAATGTAAGTCTTGAAACCATAAAACTTTTAGAAGAGAAAACATGGGCAGGAAACTCTCTAACATTACTCTTAGAAATAATTTTGTCTGATATATCTCCTTGGGCGAAAGAATCAAAGAAAAAAATTAACAAATGGGACTACATAAAATTAAATAGCAAAGGAAACCATCAACAAAACAAAAAGACAACCTACTGGGTGGTAAAAGATATTCACCAATGACACATTTGATAAGGGGTTAATATCTAAACTTTATAAAGAACTTGTACAATCTTCACCAAAAAAACAAACAATCCAATTGAAAAAATGGGCGGAGGACCTGAATAGACATTTCTCTAAAGAGGACATACAGATGGCCAACAGACTTATGAAAAGATGCTCAAGGCCATTAATCATCAGAGAAATGCAGATTAAAACCACAGTGAGATATCACCTCACAGCTGTCAGAATGGCTATTATCAATAAATCAACAGACAACAAGTGTTGGCAAGGGTGTGGGGAAAAGGGAACCCTTGTGTACTATTGGTGGGAATGCAGACTGGTGCAGCCACTATGGGAAACAGTATAAGTTTCCTCAAAAAATAAGAAATAGAACTACCTTAGGACCCAGTGTTTCCACTTCTGGCTATATATCCAAAGAAATTGAAACCACTAATTTGAACAGATATATGCATCCCTATGTTCATTGCGGTGTTATTTGTAATAGCCAAGATATAGAAGCAACCCTAGTGCACATCAATAGATGACTGAATAAAGAAAAGGTGGTAAAAAAGCTTTTTAGTTTGATGTAGTCCCATTTGTTTATTTTTTATTTGGCCCAAGGAGATATATCAGAAAAAATATTGCTATGAGAAATCTTTGAGATTTTACTGCCAATGTTTTCTTCAAGGATTTTTATGGTTCCGAGTCTAACATGTAAGTTTTTAATCCATGTTCAGTTTATTCTTGTGTATTGTGTAACTAACAAGGAAAATAGAGACAGACTCTAAGAGAGCAGGCTGACAATTGTCAGAGTGGGGGTGGAGGGATTGAACAAAAACGAAAAAAAAGAGAGAAAAAACTCATGGTCACATACAACAGTGTGGTGATTGCCGGGGTGGTGGGGTGGTGTTGGAAGAGGTGAGGAAGGTATAGGAGGGATAAATGGTGATGAAAGGTGACTTGACTTGGGGTGGTGAACACACAAGACAGTGTCCAGATGATGTGTTATGGAATTGTGCGCCTGAAACTTGCATATTTTGTTAACCAGTGTCTCCCCAATAAATTCAATGAAAAGGAAAAAGAAGGTCATACATATGTACAATGGAATATTACTCAGCCACAAAAAGAATAAAATCTTATCACTTGTGACTGTACAAATGGATCTAAAAGTATTATGTTAAGCGAAATAAGTCAGTCAGAGAAAGACAAATATCTGATTTCACTTATACGTATGTGGAATCTAAAGAACAAAATAAATGAACAAACAGAAACAGACTCATAGATATAGAGAAGAAACTGAAGGTTGCCATTTGACAAGTGGGGGAGCTGAGTAAGAAAAGTGAAGGGATTAAGAAGAACAAATTGATAGTCACAAAATAGTTACCAGGATGTAAAGTTCAGTGTAGGGAATAGAGTCAGTAATATTTCAATAACTATGTATGATGCCAGGTGGGTACTTAAATTATTGGGGGATCACTTTGTAAATTATATAATTGTCTAACCACTATGTTGTATATCTGAAGCTAATATAAAATAATATTGAATTTCAACTGTAATAAAAAAATAAAAAAGGAATTCTGTATACAATGAAAATATCTTTCAAATATGAAGTCATACTTTCAAAGCTTAAGAAATCCAGTAGACCTGAACTATAGGAAATGTTAGGGGAAGTCTTTCAGACAGAAAGAAAATGACATCAGATGGCAATCTGGATGTACACAAAAGAGTTAAGAGCAATAGAAGTGGAAACTGCATAGGTAAATGTATGAGTTATTTTTTGTATTATCTAAGCATTTAAAAAATAATGGAAGGTTCAAGGCAAAAATAATAAAAATGAACTGTAGGATTTATAACATGTATAGAACTAAAAAATAATTGAACTGTTTAGATTATTTACATATAATGAGATTATTGACATACTTTGGTTTAATTCTATTTTGCCATTTATTTTCAATTTGTCCTTTCTGTTTTATTTTGTTTCCCTTCTTTTAGATTACTCAAATTGATGCACAAGAGATGGGAAACAAATGAGGTGAGCCCTGTAGCTGCCCAACTTACTTCCTGTAGAGTGTTCAGACTATGGGACAGAAAATGGAACCCAGGCAGACCCTTATGGTCTTCCTAAAATGAGGAGACAGAGATGGGAGTTCAAAGAGGTGGCCAGCCATCACAGAGAAGGGTACCAGTGAGGAGAAAGATGCACACAGAGAGCTCTGGAGGTCTGTGGTACTCAAGGTTTTAGTTGAGAACCATCAGCTGCTTATATTTCTGGTGGCCAGAGGCACAATTCCTCAGTCTGAGTGGCACATCTGTGTATCTACTACAATAAAGTTACCTCCCTGAGTCTCTATTACATATTGCCCATCTTCTGAGTTGTATAAAATCTAATGAATATGCAAAAGAGCTTAGAAAATTATAAAACACTCATCATTGCATTAATATGACAACGGCTTAAATACATAAACACACTTTATTATATAAATCCAAAAGTTTCAGAACTGGGTGATCACTTCCAGGCATGACTAATCTGTTGTTTAGTCAGCTTTCACTGAATAATCTTTGTGAACAGAAAATAGTTTCAAGGCTACAGAGAGNGTGATCACTTCCAGGCATGACTAATCTGTTGTTTAGTCAGCTTTCACTGAGTAATCTTTGTGAACAGAAAATAGTTTCAAGGCTACAGAGAGAAAAAAATTGCATTTACAGTGTTTGCCTTCAAAGAAATTACCATAATGCAAACAAATATACATAAAAAGAAACTTTAATCAAAACATGAATTGAGCCCTAGCCAGTTGCTCAGTGGTTAGAGCATTGACCTGCAGACTGAAGGATATCGGGTTCGATTCCTGCCAAGGGCACGTACCTCGGTTGTAGGCTTGATCACTGGTCCTGGTCGGGGCTCATGCAGGAGGCAACCAATCGCTGTGTCTCTCTCACATCGATGTTTCTCTCTCTCTCTCTCTCTCTCTCGCTCNGCTCAGTGGTTAGAGCATTGACCTGCAGACTGAAGGATATCGGGTTCGATTCCTGCCAAGGGCACGTACCTCGGTTGTAGGCTTGATCACTGGTCCTGGTCGGGGCTCATGCAGGAGGCAACCAATCGCTGTGTCTCTCTCACATCGATGTTTCTCTCTCTCTCTCCTTCTCTTTCTCTCTCTCCCCGACTTCCTTCCACTCTCTCTGAAAAGCAATGGAAAAAATATCCTTAGGTGAGGATTAACACCCCCAAACCCCAAGCAAAAAAACCCCTACATGAATTGAATAATATCACTGTACTTGCTTCTTTACATCAATTCTCAAAGGGCTGCATACTGGCTTGAGTGGTGAGATGAGAGCTGGGTGGATTTAATCATCACTGATTTCATTAAGTGCTTGAGATTTGAGTAGAATTTTGAAGGAGTAGAAAGATACTCCACTGATGAGACTGAGGCAGTGGGCCCACCAGAAAGAATGCATGTAAAAGGTGGTGGTGTGTGTGTGGGGGGGGCATGAACAAGTTCTCAGGCAGAGAACAAGGTCGCAACTAGACTTGAGAAGTCCTGGCCTCTGTCCCTAACTAGCAAGCCGGGGTACTCTGGAGCCTCATTTCCTCCTCAGCAAATCAGGCCTAAAGGAGCTCTAGCATATTCTGGCTCCACGATTACACAATGGCACCATTTAAACAATCCCTGGTGAATATGAAACAGACTCATAGATACAGAGAACATTTTGAAGGTTGCCAGAGAGGAGGGAGTTGGGGGGACAGGTGAAAAAGGTGAAGGGGTTTAGAAGTACAAATTGATAGTGACAGAATAGTCGTGGGGATGTAAAGCACAGCCTAGGGAATATATATTGTAGATTATCAATAATGTAATAACAACATGCGGTGTCAGATGGGTGCAAGATTTATCTGGGATGATCACTTTGTCAGTTATATAAATGCCTGATCATGGGGTTGCACACCTGAAACTATTATAATATTGCACATCAACTGTAATTTAAAAATAAAAAAATATTTAAAAATCTCTGGAGATTATGAAAGTAAACATATTTTCTTGGCTCAAGTAAGAGTAACAACTGGGGCATCTTAGGCAATGATAACTCAGGTGAAGGTGATGAGCCAAGATACAGAGTCAGAAACCCACAAAAGGCACTTAGGGGCCATTTGAAGTCAGAAAGCAGGAAAATGATATAATTAACCTTCTCTGATGTTTGCAAATCCTCGAGAATACCGGATAGGAAGCCGTCGTGCACTGACCCCGTGGCAGAGAGCACCTGGGCGCGGGAGGGCAGAGCCAGGGCCTTCTAAGGCTCGTTCTTCCCGCGCGGTTACGCTTCTGATCAGCACTGGGACGTGGCGAACAGCATCTCCCGCGCCGGGCGGGGTGGGCCGTGGTTTACATGGCTCAGCCTTTTATTCGGAAGAAATCAGACTCACAGAATGAACGTCCAACCAGAACTTTATTATATCAACCATCGCACATCGTCACCCCTCTCGCACTCTCACTACACGGTGCTTTCAGTATTTATCGGCCTGGGAGCAGGGAGGCAGGGCGCAGCCAGACGAGGACGGTTAAGAAACAAGCGATCTGTATACATCTTAGGGTTCGGTGACGCTGCTGCGAGGAAACCCCAAACCAGGCGCCGGCGCTGGGAGGCGGGCTCTGCGGCTCACTTGCGCCCGCGGAGCTGCCGGGAGTAGCGGTTGTAGGCGGCGTTGTACCCGTACATCAGGGCGTAGCGCTCGCACAGCTTGTAGTCGTCGCAGGCCTCCCGGTTGAGCTCGTAGACGGGCTTGGTGCGCTCCCGGATCCTGGGGCGGGGGGGAGAAAGAAATGGAGAAATAAAAAAAGGAGAAAAGAATATCGGGAAATATTAGACAGAGATCCCATATCAAGGGAGATTTGACCCTGCCGGGCGCGGCGCAGCGGCTGAGCGTCCACCCAGGATCCAGGGATCCAGGCGACCGGGGTTCGATTCCCGGTCAGGGTACAGGCAGGGAGGAGAGTTGGGACGGGGGCATTTTTTTCTTGTAAAGGGAATATTTTTTTAAATGAAAACAGAATGTTTCTTTCTGTCCCTTTTTTTATTCTCCCTTTCTCTTCTTTCTGAGTCTTTCACAAAACAGTCTTCTAGAAATGCAGCTGTTTTCTGCATATTGTTTTAAAATTCTTTGATGTTCGGGTACAACGAGAAATAATATCTATTTTTTAAGGAACCTGTCTCTCACCCCGTTCTGATCTGGGATGCTACACTGGGAAAAATGACTTCCCCAATCAAGGTTTGTTACCCACCTCTCTTGAGCTTTAGCTCGCCATCTCTGCTGTGGGGATATAAAGGTATTTGCATATCTCCTGTTAATGAAGGGACCTTAAAACAGAAACAAATAAACGCAGTTTTAGGGAAACAGTAGCTGAAAATATTTCCATGAGTATTCCCTAACACAAATATGTCTGAAAGCTCATTAATTCATGCATTTCATGTAACTAGAGATATGCAGCAATCAAAGGGGAAGATAAACATATTTCATACACTGCCTGATCTAAAGAAATGAATAACCCATAGATGTGTCTTTGAGACTGGTCACATTGGCCAACTTTTTTTTTCCCTTCCATTTTGCTCTTCCTATTTAAGTGTGTTTTAAAAATCCCTCTGAGGAGAAATTCTCTCTGCCCTGATGACTTGTGAAGCATGTCTTTAAATTACTAGTAAATGAACAGTTTAAACATGATAAAAAATAATGAACAAATTGAAAACGAGCGTGAAATGTTATTTGCTCTTATACTCAGTCTTTATAAGTCTAGAAATCCAATGGCATTCAAACAATGTTGACGTCTGTGGTCTCCCAGCTGACTTGGCCTCCAATTCTGTACTTTGCCATTTGTCATTACTCCTTGTTTTCCATCTCTGTGGTTGATGTGGTGCCAACATAAAATTTCCAAATGAGGTTTTGTGGCTCCTAAGTATGTTGAATGCAGTTTAAATGCAATATTATATTGCTTCAAGCCTCAAAAAATTGCTCATTTGGCAATTTTTATAGTCATTGGGTTTTAAATTTTACTTCAGTTTTCCAAAAGAGGCCCTTTCCCCTGTTATATGTATCACCATTTTGTCTGGTTAAGAGCAGGGAGAGGTTCTATAATACATGATATTTAAATAAGGAAGTCATATATTCACTTACTGATTTCGTAGGATTCCATGCTTTCATGAGATTCTAGAATTTAAAAAAAAGGTTCATTTTGTTATTTATTACACATTGCAATAGTCTAAACACAGTGAAGGCAGAAGGAGGAAGAGTAAAAAAGATGGGAAGCACATATTTAATAATATAGTTATTACAAATTTTAGGCATTTATGATTATGAATTGTGTTTCTAGCTGTGTCCTTGCTGTGCATATGTCTACACTTTAGTTTCTCTGATGTTGAGGAAGTCAATGAACACAGTCTTGGCTAAAATTTCCCGAGGGCTCTGAGGTTCTCAGGCTAGTGAAACAAGACAATTTAAGTGCTGTTCACAAGTCTCCAGAAAGCCCCCTTCTCGGATTAATCTGGGATCTGTCTAAGAACAGGGCTGAGGAATGGACAGAAGGGGCTAGAAGACAGCTAGGTTTCTCCAGGCAGTCTGGGCTTTACTAAGAAGACAGGCTTCTAGGAGGTTCCCAAAGCCTCTTAAGAACCTGTGTTCCATTGGCAGCCACAGAAACCACTGGCTCCAGCTCACAGCTCACACTGGGCACAATTCCATTTCAGAGAAAGAACTGAGATGATGTCAAAGCAGAAATTATCTTCTTTCTACCACTCTCCTTCTTTCTACCTTCCCAGGAGGTAAATTTGGCCGTAAGAGTCTTATATGCAAGGGCAAGTGAGTTTCTTGGAAAGTTCAAAAAGAGGTAAAGAAACCAAACTCTGTGACAAAGAAACCTTATGAATGATTTCAAGAGTCAGAAGCAAGGAACACATGGTTGTTAATATGATTTAGGCTTAAGAACAGCTCGAATATCCAGATTACTGAAGCATGAGACTGAATAATCTAAATAATTTTGCTTCAGATTTCCTTTCATAAGCTTTGAACAGAGATATATTTAACAACATTCAGAAACCAGGCAAATTTTATCTTTTTTCAATTGAAGTGATGAAATCTATTTTTCTCTGAGATCCTTTAAATGTAAAACTTCATTTTTAAATTAATTCACCAAACACATGTAGTAAATTCATGAGAGTCTTCTGTCCCTAGAGAGGGCTATCCTTAACACGTCATGTGAAAACCGATGTTTTTAAAGGTAAGTGATTCGACCAATATCTTTAACCCATTGTCACCAAAGATAAACATTCTTAAGATGCAAACTCGGGGGCTGGGAATCTTCTTTCTGAAATAGTGAAGTTTCCTAGTATATCGTGAATTACCATACAAAGGACTTGCCTGATAAATTGCAAACAGGATTGAGTATTTAGCATATAAAAAAAGACCAGATGGAACACACGTGGGGCTTGGAATTCAGGGAATATTAATGGTACTTTAAGATTGTAATAGAGAGAGGGACAAGAAGAGGAGGAGGGAGAGGAAACATTGAAGTTAACTGAAGTCAGACACAGAAAAGAAACCCCAGAGAAATGGCAGGGGGAAGATTTCTCACCATAACACAAAGCTGCCACGGCCAAGGCCGCCAGAATGGACAGAAGCAGCAGGCTCCTCATGGTGTCTCCGTGGTCCTGTGGCTCAGTCTCACTGTCTTGTGCTGCAGCAGTGGGAAGAGGCTTCTACAGGCTGTTTGTACAAGGCTGTGGGGTTTTATAAGAACTGGAGCAGCTGAAAGGGGAGGAACCAGTGGGAGGGGGCCAGAGAAGGTGGGGACTGGTTGGCACTAAAGTAGCACTGGGATTTTTCCCAAATATTCATTCCTTCCAGATAGTATCTCCTCTGGGTGGGCAGTTTTCCCTCATTCCTGGATGTGACTGTGTCATGGCAGGAGGCTGCACTGGTACAGAAGTTGGGGCCGCCCTAGGTTTGGGGCCAGATCTGGGCATCGGTCCACAGAGAAGGGAGTTGCCACAAACACATGTTTGTCTTCCTAATTTCTTCTCTGATCTACCCTCCTGGCCCTGACTGTGGGCCTTTCAGGTTTGGTCCCCAAACAGAGCCATAGTGTTCTGCTTGTTCCCCTAATGGGTGGCTGAGAGGTTCTGGGAAGAAAGGACTTCACTTTTATGCTGATTTAATTTAGAGTTATGTTTCCAGTGAGGCTGAACTATCAATCTGGACCAAGTGAACATTTGCCTGGTGATACGCACCTTTTGCATTTTTCAAGTGCTCAGTATGGTACAGATGTTCAGTGATCCTGTGAGTGAGTTCTGTTCCCTCAGTTGACTCTGTTATAACTCGCTCATCCAGTTTTGTGACTTGAGTCTAAACCTGTGCCCTGGTGCTCTCTCGGGCTGGCTATCACTGATCTAGAGTGCAGCAAAGATAAGAGGGTACCCATCTCTCGTTTTCTGAAGGCATTGTCCTGATAATTAACAAATTCAATATGCCTTTAGTGAGTGCCAGGTGAGATGCAAGGTACTGTGCTAGGTGCTGGGCAGGGGTCGTGGGCGTGAAATCTACTGACAGACAAGACATATGTCCCGAAAAAGGTAAGTAATAGCTACTTACTATTCACTTTGCTCTATCACTGTCATGTATCTTCAAACAGATTTTCACAAACACACACTCCTACTATACCTTTAGCACCAGAAGTGCTGTTTCTTTTCTTGTAAGAAGAGGATTGCATTTCGGTGTCTCTGGTTATGGTACAGAGTGAGATTTTTTTTCTTTCTTCTTGAACAATTAGTAAAACTCTTCTATCAGATGTGTCTCTGTTGCCTGGGTAGCCAAAAGTCTTCTTAGCCCACAAATAAACTTGAGTCACAGAGCTGAAGATTGTGAAAGAGCTAAAGCTGCAGGGCCTCTGACTCTTGGACTGAACAGCAAAAGGGCTGGGCTGGCGGTGGGTGGCTATACTTTTCAGTAATGATTTATCTCAAGGAGCAGTGATGAACAACTAGGTGGAGCCTCATCCTTCTTGTCTTATTGGGATGGACTTTCCCTGCCAGCCTCCATCCTATGAAAACTTTATAAACACTAAAGGATTCCCTGTTTTGTAATCTGAAGGATTAGTGAGTTTGGGGGGACCAACAAAATTCAGGTATTCCTTCCAGATAGTTTCATGTTAAGAGATGTATTCTTTGTGATAAAATCTCAAAAGGAAGACAACGTATGTTCATTATTAATATATTCAACCATCATGATTTCTACTCATAAGGCTGGTGGTTGTTCCTCTGTTAAAATCACAAACTTGCTTTCTATGTTAGTTTCCCTTCCCTTTTTCTGAGATAAGTCATCCAAATCATATCGTCAATAAATAATTTGAAGTGCAAAAGCCAGTTCACTGCTTTGGATGGTTTTGGGGAAACAAGCTAACAATGGCTTGTTTGTATAGCATTTTATATGCATTCAGTCAGAAATCTCCAATTAACATGATATGAGACAAGTTTAGTTCCAATGTTACACCCCTAAAATGAGTAGGCTACTCACCTCCCCCAATCCCATCTCCGGAATGAAAGAGAATTCCCTTTTTTCCAGATACATACACATGCCTTGTAATGTACATTAACTCAGTCTATTCCAGCCAGATTGCAGATATCTCCTCCCAAATTCAAATGGCAACTGGGCTCTGTCAGCTTCTAATATCACAGTTTGTTTGTTTGTTTGTTTGTTTATTTATTTATTTATCAATCCTCACCTGAGGAGTGAGAATATTTTTTCCATTTTTAGAGAGAGTGGAAGGAAGGGGGGAGGGAGAGAGAGAGAGGAGAGAGCGAAGCATTGATGTGAGAGAAACACATGGATTGGTTGCCTACTGCATGTACCTCAACTGGGGGCAGGGATCGAGCCTGCAACCCAGGTATGTGCCCTTGACTGGGAATTGAACCTGTGACCCTCCGGTGAACAGGCCAATGCCCTAACCACTGAGCAGTGCTAGCCAAGGCACAGTTTATTTTACACTCTCTGAATCCAAACTTGAAAATCTTATTATTCTCTTTCCAGTTTAAACTTCAACTTTATTTATAAGTCATTTTTATATTGCTTCCTAAACTTTTAAACATTTCTCTTTATCATCTTGCTTTTGGTAAGGCTGACACTTTCTGTTGGAAGCTGTCTCTTACCAGTCACTCTTCTTTTCTTTCCACTGTTTTCCATCAGTTCCTTGTTTTTTCTATGCTAATTCCTATTTATATATGATTAATAAAAATTAAAAAAAATGTGAGAAGTCAGAGCACTTCTTTTTCTCTTCTTCCTTATTATTCCCCATCTCAAAAACAATTTTGTGAGTGCCAGCTCCAGTTATGCCTTTTAGTGAAGAGAGAAAAAAATGGAGGTAGAAAAAAGGTGGTGGGAAAGAAATGAGAATGGCCTTGAATATTTGGTTTGTTGGATGGGAGAGTTTTGGGTGGAGATTGAATTGTAGAGAGAAAAACTTTGAGGTAGCTAGCTGTAGGATGTGAGACATATTAAAAGTGAGAAATGGGAAAAGACAAATAAGAGTTCTTTGGTTATAAACAGAATTTTCTTTTTTCTTTCTTTCTGATTTTCTGAGGTTGTTAAACAGTATTTGAGAATTGACAGAAAATATTGAAATTATTTTTAATTAATTTTGGCTGCTAGTTTGTATTTTATTTTTTAAAAATCATTTTGTAATTTTTCAATTACAGTTGACATACATTATTATATTAATTTCAGGTGTACACCCCAGTGATTAGACAGTACATAACTTACTAAATGATCATCCCCATAAATTTCACACCCATATGACACCATACATAGTTATTTGAATATTATTGATTATACTATTCCCGATGCTGTATTTTATATGCCCATGACTATTCTGTAGCAACCAATTTGTACTTCTTAATCCCTTCACCTTTTTCAGCCATCCTTCTAACACCACTTCCCATGTGGCAACCATCAAAATGTTCTCTGTGTCTACGAATCTGTTTCTGTTCTGCTTGTTCATTTATTTTGTGGTGTTTTTTTTTTTTTTAGAGTCAGTTGTTGATAGATATGTAGTTATTGCCATTTTATTGTTCATATTTTTGATCCTTTTTTTTCTTCTTCCTAAAGAAGGCCCTTTAACATTTCATGTAATACTGGTTTGATGCTGATTAACTCCTTTAGCTTTTTCTTGTCTGGGAAGCTCTTTATCTGCCCTTTTATTCTAAATGTTAGCCTTGCTGGGTAGAGTACTCTTGGTTGTAGGTCCCTGCTTTTCATCACTTTGAATATTTTTTTCCAATCCCTTCTGGCCTGCAAAGTTTCTGTTGAGAAATCAACTGACAGTCTTATGGGAGCTCCCTTGTAGGTAACTAACTGCTTTTCTCTTGCTGATTTTAACATTCTCTCTCTCTCTTTAATCTTTGGCATTTTAATTATGATTTGTCTTGGTGTGGGTCTCTTTGGGTTCATCCTGTTTGGGACTCTTTGTGCTTCCTGGACCTGTATGCCTGTTTCCTTCACCAAGTTAGGAAAGTTTTCTATCATTTTCAAATAGGTTTTCAATTTCTTACTCTCTCTCTTTTCCTTCCAGTACCTCTATGATGCAAATGTTGGTTCTCTTGAGGTTGTCTCAGAGGCTCCTTACACTGTCCTCATTTTTTGTATTCTTTTTGCTTTTTTGATTGGGTGTTTATTGCTTCCTTATATTCCAAATTGCTTTGATCCTTAGCTTCATCTACTCTACTGTTGATTCCCTGCAAATTATTCTTTATTTCAGTTAGAGTGTCCTTTATTTCTGAATTGTCCTTTTTCATGCTATTGAAGATCTCACTAAGTTCATTGAGTATCCTTATAACCAGTGTTTTGAACTCTGCATTTAGTAGATTGCTTGTCTCCATTTTGTTTGTTATTTTTCTGGAGTTTTGTTCTGTTCTTTCATTTTGGACATGTTTCTTTGTTTTCTCATTTTGGCAGCCTCCCTGTGTTTAAACTTCTATATCTCCTAGGCTTGGTAGAGTAGCCTAATGTAGTAGGAAGGTCTGTATTTTCTTAATTGAGATATCTTGTAAAGACTAGACCACATGAAGCTCCAACTTACATTTGAATTTCAAATAATTATAAAAGACATTTACATAGATATCTCCACCTAGCTAAAGAGGAATATTCTTCAGTGGAGAGAATATCTGAAAACCCTCTCAGAAGTGATGACAAAGGTATGAGAGAGACAATAATATGATTGCCAAGTGTTTTTTGTTGTTGTTGTGAATCCTCACCTGAGGATATTTTTCCCATTGATCTTCAGAGGGAGTGGAAGGGAGGGGGAGAGAGAGAGGGAAGGAAACATTGATGTGAGAGAGACACATGGGTTGGTTGCTTCTAGAAGGCACCCTAACCAGGGCCAGGGATCAAATCTGCAACCCAGGTACATGCCTTTGACCAGGAATTGAACCCTTGACCCTTTGGTCTGTGGGCTGATGCTCTAACCACTGAGAAAAACACCCAGGGCCCAATTGCTTTTTTTGATTGTACAGAATCTCAGGCAAGATTGACAATGTGGTGCAACCCAGGCAACAGAAGTCACAGAATGGTGCAAGATCTCTTATTCCACCAGCCCTCAGTAGGAAACGAGAAGCATAACCACACCTTTCAAAGCCAGAAGTAGTCTCATGGTTTTAGTCTTC